ATAAATAAAAGGGATTAAGCATCTCTTAATCCTTAATAGCTATAGTAGCTATTTAATATATAAATTTAATATAATTTATAATAAGAATTATATAATTCTACTTTATATATCTGCCTATTTATTATATCTTCTTTAATCTCTTAATGTCGCCTGTTTTGCAGCTTTAAAGTATATATATAAGGGGTTAATTAAAACTAATGCTCATAATAGTAAATATTATATTAATAAGCTTAATTTTTTAAAGGCTTATTTAACTACTTATAATATTACTATTAAAAAAAGTAGTATTTATAGTGGATTCTCAGCAACTGGCCTAGTTCCTCTAAATCCTAAGCTAATACTCTTAATTTTAAATATTAAGCTTTAAACTTTAACACCCCCCCTAAGCCGCAGCTTAGATAGCTTATTTAAGACACCTTATTATCCTATAGGCCTAAAAAAGTATTTAATAAAGCTTAAGAATTATATTTAATATCTTAATTATATATAAAGCTCCCTAAGCCTAATAATTAGGGCCCTTAATTAAATAAAAAAGGTATATAAATCTATAATAAATAGTGTCATAATTCTTATAGAGGAAAATAAGGGATTATAGGCTTAATAAGCTAATAATATTAAAAAGAATTAATAATTAAAGTGGCAGCTAGTCCTAGAGCCAGGCTATATAATCTAGAAGGTAATATAGTTAATTATATAGGCTTATTAAGCTAAAGATATTATTAAAGCTACAGCTTTAATAGGCCTTATTAATAGTGCTCACACACCACTAATATACTCTAATTATAATATAGTTAGTCATTAGAGGAATCACTGCCCTAACTACTATAGTAATTAATTTTTTTTATTAATATATAATATAAATAGCTTCAAATTGCTAGAATAATTGATTTTTTTGGGGGTTGGTGCGCGGCTCGGCCGTGTGCGCGGTTCGTACGTGGGTTACGTTACCTAACAGGTAAGTATAACACCTGATGGGTATACCCATGGGTTCTAATTAGTAAACCCATACCCGACCTGGGCGCGGGTCGGGTCGGGTTCTCCGGGTCGGGTATAGCCAGTCTAACTAAGTCTGAGTGATTAATCGAAAAAAAAATGGACTCGCGGGGAATCGAACCCCGGACCACTCCCATGCTAAGGGAGTATTATACCACTAAACCACAAGCCCGCGATGGAGGTCGCTTTCTTTTGACTGTACATGTTCCAGTTTATCTGCAGTTATCTGTACCGTAAGGGAATAACCCTAACCTAACCTATTATTTCTGTCAGGTATTAGAACTCTATGATCTTACGAGTGCCTCTTATATTAGATATTCAATATAGATAGACTCAAGCATGAAGTCTAGCACTCATTTCTCATATGATCCCTCGGTTGTAGACCTAGACTACATGATACTATATCTACTTGGGTCATGGGACTGATATTAATATAAATTAGTCTTATGCTCCAATCGTGACATGTATATCATATATCATATATTGCATATATTGCATGTGTATCATTCTCCTACTATGACACATGCACCGAGGCACTGCCTGGTTATATAAAGTAGACATACTACATCCATTCTAGCAGACATATTCTATCAGTAACAACATACAACATGCTCCTCCTAGTCCTGCTCTTCGTCTGGGGCTGTTCTGCCACCTACAAGATCGGCGTCGGCAAGTCAGACATAACGGGGTATCTATTCCATACTATACTATATACTCTATACTAACTATATACTATATACTAACTACTAACAGGCCCGTCGTCGAGGTGAATTTCATGGGATACGCTTACCTCAGCCAGGTGGGCACCGGCTTACGTCAGCGGCTGTTCGCCCGGGCGTTCATCGTCGGCGACGTCGACGACGCCAACAACTGCTTCGTCTACGTCAACCTGGACACGGCGTGCGGCGACACGGCCGTCCGGTACGGCATCCTGGACGCGCTGGCGGCGCTGGGCAGCGAGTATGCCGTGTACGGGCAGCAGAACGTCGCCGTGGTGGGCACGCACCAGCACTCGGGCCCGGGGGCGTGGATGAACTACCTGCTGCCGCAGGTGACGAGCCTGGGCTTCGACCAGCAGAGCTACGAGGCGATCGTGACGGGCGCGGTGGCGGCGATCCGCCAGGCGCACGAGTCGCTGACGGAGGGCTCTCTGGCCGTCGCGACGACCAACGTCACCGACGCCAACATCAACCGCAGCCTGTACGCGTACCTGAACAACCCGGCGGCCGAGCGGGCGCGGTACACCAGCAGCACGGACGAGACGATGACCATGCTGCGCTTCCGGCGGGCGTCGGATGGTCTGGACGTGGGCGTGCTGGTCTGGTTCGCGGTGCACGGCACCAGCGCGTACGAGAACAACACGCACGTCACCGCCGACAACAAGGGGGTCGCCGAGTACCTGTTCGAGAAGGCCATGGCAGACGCGGCCAGCGCGGCCGACGGCTTTGTCGCCGCCTTTACGCAGTCGTCGGTGGGCGACTCGTCGCCCAACGTGCTCGGGGCGTGGTGCGACGACGGCTCGCCCTGTTCGTTCGAGAACAGCACCTGCGACGGCGTGGCGGGCTCATGCCATGGACGAGGCCCGGCGTTTCGCGCCCTCGACCTGGGCATCACCAGCTGCTACGAGATCGGCCGGCGGCAGTTTGCCCCCGCGCTGCAGCTGTACGAGACCTTCGACAGCGTGGCGACCGCGCTGACCGATCCCTCCGTCAGAGCCTTCCACTTCTTCCACCAGATGGACGGCTTCACCTTTGCCCTGCCCAACGGCACCGAGGTGGCCACCTGCGCCGCCGCGCTGGGCTACTCCTTTGCCGCGGGCACGACCGACGGGCCCGGCCCGTTCGACTTCACCCAGGCCGACTCGGGCGTCGCAGACGCCAACCCGCTGTGGGCGGTGGTCAGCGATCTGCTGGAGACGCCCACCGCGGCGCAGGTGGCCTGCCAGGCGCCCAAGCCCATCCTGCTGGACGTCGGGCAGATGACGGAGCCGTACGCGTGGGCGCCCAACATCGTCGACGTGCAGCTGCTGCGCGTCGGCCAGCTGATCGTCATCGTCTCGCCCAGCGAGGTCACCACCATGTCCGGGCGGAGATGGAAGGACGCCATCCGCACCGCCGCCGTCGAGCAAGGCGTCGTCGCCGCCGACGTGGACCCTATCGTCGTCGTCTCCTCGCCGGCCAACACGTACGCGCACTACGTCGCCACGCCCGAGGAATACGCCATCCAGCGCTACGAGGGGGCGTCCACGCTGTACGGACCATGGCAGCTGCCGGCCTACATCAACCTCACGGTCAGCAACATCGGCTATCTCGTCGCTGGCGCAGGATCCCCGGCGGAGGGGACCTACCCGCCCGACAACCGGAACGTCAGTCTGGACTTCATCGCCGGCGTGGTCTACGACAGCCCGCCGCTCGGGTACGCGTTTGGCGACGTGCTGGTGCAGCCGGCGAGCTCGTATGCTGCCGGCGAGGTGGTCAACGCGACCTTTGTCGGTGCCAACCCGCGCAACAACCTCCGGCTGGGCGAGACCTTTGCCGCCGTCGAACAGGCCGTCGCTGACGTCTGGACGGTCGTCATGGACGACTGGGACTGGTACCTCGAGTATACGTGGGCGCAGACGGACGTCCTCCTCGGCAGCAGCCAGGTGGTTGTCTCGTGGGAGACGCAGGATCCAGCGCCGGGAGTGTATCGGATGCATTATTATGGCGATTGGAAGGATGTTTTGGGGACTGTCACTTCCTTTGAGAGTGTTTCCACCAACTTTACCATCAGCGGTACTTAGTCTATACTCTCCTCTTAAGCTATACTATACAAGGAATCTCCAACGCTGTCCACTCGAGAGGAAATTCAAAAAACATCTCCACCGGCTCCTGCATCTTCAGCCTCTGGATCCTCTCCTGCCACGGGTGTCCCTCGGCTTCGACCGGTGTATCCCTGATGGTCAGTATGTCTGTTGTTGCCGCCTTGCAGGGCATACGTACGGCCATTCTCCCTCGTCCACCTCGATTCCATGTCGCCGGAGCATACGCCGCATTTCAAGCAACTTTAGAGGAGAATAAGAAAGAAGAAGAGAAGAAGAGAAGAAGAGAAGAAAGAAGAGAAACTACTTACCAACCACTGCGCCTGGCGAAAATACCTGGCCATAGGCTGCAGATAGCCCAACAACAGATCGACCTGCTCTCTGAGAGCAGCAGCATCGGCCTGTCCGTTCATGAAGAACCACTGCAGCTGCACACGCATGCTCTCCAGCACACACATGGGCAGACTGCCGTCCAGAAACGGCGAGGCCGCCAGGTCGACGTGCTGCGAGACGGTCTGCAGCGTGCGCGCGATGCTGCGGGCGTGTTCGACGCACGCCAGCTGATGCCCATGGACCCAGTCCGGGGGCGCCGACGAGAGCACCTCTGCGGCCATGGTTTCCGGGAAGCCAGGGAGGACGACGCGGTACAGATCCGCCATGCATTGCTCGTACCAGACGTGCAGCATGGTTAACGGGGTGAGCTGGTGCTGCGCCTGGCGGGCGTAGATGGTGTCTGGTCTCAGCTGGCACTGCGGAGGCAGAGAGGCTTTCCATGCGGTCATCTTGCGCTCGCACTCTTGGAATGCACTCGACATCCACGGAACGTTTCTACTTGCATTGCTGCCGCCCCTTGTTGTCTGCAGGATCTCGTACCGGATACTCATCATGCGAACGTAGTGTCCGAACAGCCCGACCTCTCCATCGTCGGAGCACAACAGACCAGCCCGTGGAGGAGAGATGGCCAGGAGAAAGGAATGCTCTTCGCAGGGCAGCGCGATCGAGTCCGCCAGATCTGCCCGGATGAGGATCTGGTCCGGCAGTCCTGGAGCCATCATGCGATCCAGACAGTAACATGCCCAGAAGAGCCGGCGCTTGGTCTCCCGCTCGATGAACGTCTTTTCTTCTTCTTCTTCTTGCTTCTGCAGTCCTAGAGCCAGAGCCCCCCGCGTGGCCATGGCGGCCAGCATCCACGCCGAGCTGAACCGGCCGCAGTGGATGTCGTGTTTGGCGAGGATCAACGCCGTGGCGACACGCTGCACGGAGACGGTCCCCTCGAGGATGAGCAGGGCTTTGGCTTCACGCGCCCAGCCGCATTCCCGGCCGGGCACGGCGGTGGGCAGGAAGCGTGTGGCGATGGCGCAGATGGCCAGCAGGAGGGCGCGGTCGGCGCGACGGGCGTTGATGTCGCGCAACAGCGTGCCGCGGTGGATGAAGGCGTTGCCCTGGACGGGGTAGACGGAGGTGAAGAAGGCGTCGAGATGGGGGAGCAGGATATCTCGGTCGATTTCCTCTTCAGCTGTATTCTCAACATGCTCCACAACCTCAGTCATGTCCGTCTTATATTCGCACACCATCCCCTGCTGCACACATCGTTCACACGGTCTCTCGCGTGAACACCGGCATCGCGCAACCCGGCATCCCGTACACGCCGCCGTGCGAGGACGACCTCCTACATATGATTACCAGCAGAACGAGCAGAACATAATGGAGTAGATGTACCCCCCCGTTGCACGACAGCCCGCATGACCGGCCATCGACACTCGAGCATCACGCGCGTGCAGTTGGCACATCTCCCCGGTGTTTCGTCGCATTTGATCTATCAATCAGCTCCGTCTTGCGTCTCGGGCGACAGCTTACCTTTCTCGCTCGACAGGTGAGACAGCCTAATCAGTCAGAAGGGTATGGTATAGGTAGAGAGTAGAGTGGATTACCAGTGCGGGTTCGCTTCTTGGCCTCTCGCTTGGACCGCGGAGAACTCGAGTCGGACATTGGCGAGATACTCGATGCAGAGGAACAATGCAGAAGTTGAAAGAGCAGAGTTTGTGGGGTGCGGGGAATGAATGGGGTATGGGGAACGGGAGGTCCGTCCGGCACTAGTCTAGATTAGTATACTACATACAATAGAGATACATGTATATACCTAGTATAACTACTACATACACACTACATAGAGATACTACAAACTCTCGACATGAGCAACGGCCACCTTCTCAATAGTCTCAACCGCCCTCTGGCGCTTGTCCTCCAGCATCGCAGAGGTATCCCACGTTCCGAACTGGCGGATCGGCACGCCTTCCTCGAACATCTGCCAATTAGATGTCTGACAACCAGATAGGATAGGATACTTACATAGTCGATTTCTTCCAGCGAGCGGCCCTTGAGTTCCGGAGCGAGGAAGTAGACCCAGGCGCAGGTCCCGAACGAGACAATCGACCAGATATAGTTGATCTGCAATGAGCTGAGCACGCATCCCACCACAGAGAAGGGGAGACCAACCTTTGCACCCAGTCCTCCATAGCCTGCATCCGTCATGTACGGCGATCCCATAATGATCAAGAGTCCGACTCCGTATCCCCACCAGATACTCACCGACAGCGTCTTGTCGCGCAGGCCTTGCGCAGGCACTTCCGAGCCCAGAATATAAGCCTGAATGAAATTAGCTTGCGATTGGAATATTGAAAAGAAAAGTACCATCGGCATCCAGCTGCAGGCCATGGACACCATCCAGATGAGATACATGGCCAGCGTGACGTCGCCCAGTCTGCCCGTCGGCGTGGCATCATGGGTGACGATGCCGGAGATGACCATCATGCAGCAGCCCTGGACGAAGGCGCCGCCCATCAGGACGTTGCGGCGGCCGATCTTCTCGGCCGTGATGAAGGAGGTGCCGGTGCACACGAATTGGATGATGTACATGAGAAAGTTGATCAACTGGCCGTCTATCGGTCATATTGGTTAGTGTCCATATCAGTATACTTCACATCAAGACTATTCCATTCTTACTGGTGAATCCGAGGTCTTCCAGAGTCAGAACCAGATAGCTGATGATGTACGTCAAGCCTTGCGCTTGTCTGTGGATATCAGCCAATGCCTCTCCAATAACACACACAGGGAAACGCACTGCAAGGTCTGGGTTCCAATGGCAACGAGGGTGCGCACGCGGTTGCTGCCCTTGAAGAGATCAACCCAGCCGAACTGAGCGTCCAGCCGCTGCTCCTCCTCATGGGCAAACGCCATCTCGATGACCTCCTGGTGCACGCGTTCCTCAGCCCACGGCCTCAGCGAACGCACCACCTCCTCGGCCTCGTCCAGCCGGCCCTGGGCGACCAGCCAGCGCGGCGATTCCGGCAGCCAGTAGATGCCCGCCAGGAACAGCAGCGGGAAGATGGCCTGCGTGCAGATGGGGAACAGCCAGTTGCCCGCGTCGGAGCGGTTGACGACGCAGTACACCACGATCTCGCCGACCAGACTGCCCACCGACTGGATGTTGATGTATAGCGTCACCAGCACGCCGCGCATCGACGGCGGCGCACATTCCGCCAGGTACGCGCAGATCGAGCCTGCACTGAGTCCCGTGCCAATGCTGACCAGGGCCTTGCCCACGATCAGACACGCGTACGACGCCGGAATGGTTGCCACCGCTTCGATGATGATCCCGGACAGCAAGATCGACGCGATGATCCATAGACAGGCTTTTCGACCCCAGTACTTCATCGGCCAGGAAACGGACTGACAAGTATAAGACAGGAGAAGAAACAGAAGACAGGAGAAGAAACATACCAATCCTCCAATCATGCCAAAGGCCATTCCCAACCCCGTCCCCAACGAGATCTCCGTCGTGCTGAGACTGTACGAAACGGTTCCATCGCTGGCGACGCTCTTGACGGAGCCGAAATGGTTGTTGAACGCTGTGGCACCGAGGATGGATCCCCACCACGCAGAGTCGAAGCCTGGAAGAAATCAATATCATCGATATAATATTCAGAGGAGGAATGTACCCTGCGACACAGAGCCTAGCGAGGCATAGGCGCACACGAGAAAAAGGCGGGGGTTCTACAGATCAGAATAGGCAGATAGACAGATAGACAGATGGTACCTACGGCGTCTGCCAGGGACTTCCTCAAAGTGGTCAACATTTGGACTGTTGCTGATCACTTCTTCCACCAGTGCCATATATGCTTCTTATATGTTGGGGTCTGGCTGGGGTATGGGGACGGGGCGGGGACGGGCGGGGACGGAACGGGTATCGTACGGAGATGCCTCCGCGAGATACGCGAGATAGCAGGAATGTATTACAGGTAGTCTAATAGTATAGAATATATCTATACGATATACTGTATACTATACTATATACTATAGAATATATTCTATACTTACTACATACTTACTACATACTATAGATACTATATACTTTAATACTATATACTATACCTATACTATATACTATATACTATATACTATTTACTATAGATACTCTTAGTATCCTATAGATAATATTCTATACTTACTACATACTATAGATACATATACTATTCTACTATTCTACTCTCCTATTCACTCTACTTTCTACTCACCACGTGGACTACGCCCAAAAGGATGGTCCGCCCCCAGATGCGGGCAGCCAATCGGCTGAGGGCTCTCCACGCTCGGACTCCACCCCCGCTTTTCCTCCAGAATCGTCGAATTCTCCTTTTTCCTCGTCGATTCTCCACAGCACAGCATAGCATCTATAGATCTATAGCACAGCACAGCATAGGATCTATAGATCTATAGCATGCCATGTCCACCGACGGCATCGTCGGCGCCTACACAGGCAACGACTTCACGGTGCGCGCGACGTTCACCGTGTTCCTGGGCATCGCGCTGTACAACTCGGCGGAGCTGATCGTGCTGGTGCTGACGACCTTCCGGCGCTACCACGGCCTGTATTTCTGGTCGCTGCTGCTGGCGGGCACGCTGGGCGTCATCCCGCAGTCCATCTCGTTCCTGCTCAAGTACTACAGCCTGGCGCCCGTGTGGTTCTCGCTCACCCTGTCCACCCTGGGCTGGTACTTCATGGTGACCGGCCAGGCGCTGGTGCTGTTCTCGCGCCTCAACCTGGTGGTGCAGAACCCGGACATCCGGCGCGGCGTGCTGGCCATGATCATCGTCGATGCCATTGCGCTGCACATCCCCACCACCATCCTCACCTACGGCTCCAACTTCATCGCCACCCCCGTCTGGGTGCGCGCCTACACCATCATGGAACGCATCGAGCTCACGGGCTTCTGCCTGCAGGAGTTCATCATCTCCGGCCTGTACATCCACGAAACCATCAAGATCCTGCGCCTGCAGCCGCCCAACGAGGAGACCCCCTCGCAGCATCCCGGCCACTCCAACCGCAAGATCATGTACCAGCTGCTGGGCATCAACCTGCTCATCATCGTCCTCGACATCGTCCTCATCATCGTCGAGTATCTCAACTTCTTCGTCATCCAGACCACCCTCAAGTCGCTCGTCTACAGCATCAAGCTCAAGCTCGAGTTCGGCGTCCTCGGCCGTCTGGTCTTCCTCGTCCGCTCCCATCAATACCGCCCCGATCGCCAGAACCACAACGACCAATACAACCGGCCCTTTGCCTCGCTGCCCTCGCCCGACGATCGACACATCCAGCAGCTGCACCAGCTGCATCAGGGGTTTCCGGACTTTGTCGACGTCTCGCGCATCACCGTCGATTACACGCATGCCCCGAGGCCGGCCGGCCATATTTCCCTGCCTTGGGAGGAGGACAAACCAATTATATAGTATAGTATATAGTATATTCAATATTCTGTATATAGTATATAGTATATAGTATAGCATATAGCATATGGTATATAGTATAGCATATAGTATATAGTAAGTATAGTAAGTATGACATGATATCATTTCCCACGTCATCTTGACATCTACAGATACTTCATATATCACCTCTCTATACTCCTACCTTCTACTCCTACTATTACTATTCACTACTCTACAATGACTACTATCAATGCAGACGGCGCCTTCAAACCCCCCCAGGCCGCCCAGAGCCAACGCAAACCAGGGTGAGTCTATAACCCAGGTGCTTGGTATTCGTTCTAAATCTATAGATACAGGCTCGAGAAACACATGCAGCCGCCCAGCGAGTCCTCGAAACTCGAAGCCGCCGGCCAGTTCAAGGAATACGTCGGCTCCGCCAAGTTGAAAGACAAGGCCGCTCTGATCACGGGGGGAGAGTAGGTTATTCCTCATTACTTCCTCATTACTTCATCAGTTCATTCATCACCTCATGCTCTCATTCATTACTTCATCATTACTTCATCGGTTCATTCATTCACTTCTAATGATAGCTCCGGCATCGGTCGTGCCGTCGCCGTGCTGATGGCCCGTGAAGGCGCCCACATCAGCATCGTGTACCTCCCCGAGGAAGAGGAAGACGCGCAGGAAACACGCCGCCTGGTCGAGAAGGAAGGGAGAGAATGTCTTCTCTTCGCCGGCGATCTGACCAGATGGGAGACCTGCCGTGCCGCCGTGGACGCGCACATCCAGAGATACCGCCGCCTCAACGTCCTCGTCAACAACGCCTCCAAACAGTATCCCTGCGCGGACCACGCGCAGATCGACCTCGCCGCCGTCGAGGACGTCTTCCGCTGCAACATCCTCCAGATGATGGCCATGGCGAAATACGCCCTCCCGCATCTGACGCGCGGCGACGTCATCCTCAACAACGCCTCCGTCCTCGCCTTTCGTGGATCCGCCCATATGGTCGACTACGCCGCCACCAAGGGGGCCATCGTGAGCTTCACCCGCTCTCTGGCGCTGCAGCTGGAGCCGCTTGGCATTCGCGTCAATGCCGTTGCGTAAGTCCTATCTATACACCTATACTACCTATACTACCTATGCTACCATACTCATCTACTCTACTACAGGCCCGGCGCAATTTGGACCCCTATCCAGGTCGACTCGAGAGAGGCGGGCGAAATGAAAGGCTTCGGCTCGACGCTGCCCTTTGGACGACCGGGGGCGGCGAGTGAAGTGGCCACAAGCTTTGTCTTTCTCGCCAGCGCAGATGCAGCTTTCTATTGTAAGTATTCTTATCTTATTGTATGCGGCTTCTAATGGAGTAGCTGGCCAGGTTTTTCACTGCTACCCGTTGGGGGATTAGTCTTATAATTACTTAGGTATACTATATAAAGTCTCTCACTTCTTCTCTGCTGTCTTATCAATCTAAATACTATGAATTAGGTTGCTATTAGGGTTAGCCATGCTGTTCAATTGACTCTACTCTCCACTCTATATTCAGGGTTGGGTTAGGGTTAGCCATGCTCTGCTCAAACTCATCTACTTTATATTAGGGTTAGGGTTTAGGGTTTAGGGTTATTGGTTAGGGTTTGTTATCTTAGTTAATACTTGGCCATGCTCTGCCTATCATTTTATCTACACTCTATACTTAGGGTTAGGGTTAGCCACGCTCTGCTCAATTGACTCTACACTCTATCTACTCTTTACTCTATAGTCTAACTATACTTATCTATACTCTATACTCTATACTCTATACTCTATACTCTATACTCTATACTCGTTATCTATCTTGAGTGAATTATTACTAATCAATCGCCGATTCAATCGCCGAGATCCACATGCCGATGCTTCTTCCAATACCTGTCTAAACTCTTGACTCTTTTCTGATGGCTTGATGCTTGATGACTTCAATGATGCCTCTCATGTCGTTCTCATTGTTCTCATTGTTCTCATTTTCATTGTTCTCGCTGTTCTCGTTCTCATTCTTGCTCTCCCTCGCTCGCGCCGACACCGTCACGTACGACTTCAACATCTCCTGGGTCTCGGCCAACCCGGACGGCGGCACGCGCCGCCCAACGATCGGGATCAACGGGCAATGGCCTCTCCCTTTGATCCAGGCGACCCTGGGCGACACCGTGGAGGTGAATGTGCTGAACCAGCTGGGCAATCAGTCGACGTCGCTGCACTTTCACGGTCTGTTTATGCGCGACACGCCGCACATGGACGGCACGAGCGCCATCTCGCAGTGTGCCATTGCGCCGGGCGAATCCTTCCAATATAAATTCAAAGTATCTCTCTATCCTGATTTCCTTATATCCTTTTTATATCCTCTTTCTAAGGTCTAATGATAGGTCGACCAACCCGGCACATACTGGTACCACTCCCATACCCAGGCGCAGTATCCCGACGGGCTCCGGGGCCCGTTGATTGTCCACGATCCCAACGCCCCCTTTGCGGGAGAATATGAGCGGGACGTCGTCATCACCGTGTCGGACTGGTATCATCGGCAGATGGCAGAGCTGTTGCCCGCGTACATGAGCCAGTCGCATATGTTGATGGATCCGGTGCCGGACGCGGTCTTGCTCAACGACACGCACGACCTGCGCGTGCCTGTCGGTGGCAGCGGTGGGAATGGACGCAAGACATATCTCTTCCGGCTGATCAATGTCGGCGCCCTTTTGGGCCAGTATCTCGCCATCCAGGGGCACGAAATGACCGTCGTGGAAGTCGATGGCGTCTACACGCGTCCCACACGGGCAAATGTCCTCTTCCTCGCCGCCGGACAGCGCTGCAGCGTTCTTGTCGAGATGAAGGATATGCCGGACAGGAACTATCCAATTGTGACGGAAATCGATGTAAAGTCTTTCCTTGCTTGATGGTTTGCGTTGTGATATTACTGATACCACCCTTTTAGACCTCCATGATCATGGGCTCCGTTCGCATCTCGGCCACTGGATGGCTGGACTATGGCGCCCAGCACGACGAACAGCCTCGGGGATTGAACATCGCCGACGCTCTGGACGATCTCGCGCTGGTTCCTCTGGATGAGCAGCCGTTGCTGGAAGCTGATCGACGTATCGTTCTGAATATGAATGTCCAGACAATCGACGGAGCGAAGCAGTAAGACAACCAGAGCATATCAAGAAGTATACTAATGTTATTCTTCTAGCTGGCTATTCAACGATTCCCCATTCATCCCCCCTACAGAGCCAGTGCTGTATACCGCGCTGTCGGCAGGAGACAAGGCAGTGCAGCCAACCAGCTACGAGGCAACGAGCAATGTCTTTGTCCTCGCGGCAAACGAGGTGGTTGAGATCGTCGTCAACAACAACCATATGGGCCGGCATCCGTTCCACCTGCACGGCCATCATTTCCAGCTCCTGCATCGGTCGGACGACTGGGCAGGCGCATATCACGACGAGATGAAGGCCGTTTCGTCGCCTATCCGGCGCGACACGGCAATTGTCAATCCGGGGGGGAATTTGGTCATTCGCTTCAAGGCCGACAATCCTGGTACTCCATTCCTTAACTATACTCTTATACTTGGACTTATTCTGTTAGGCGTCTGGCTGTTCCACTGCCATATGGAGTGGCATGCTCACTCTGGTCTGATGGCCACCATGGTCGAAGATCCTTTGAGCCTGTCTCTGGGGGAGTTGAGCTGTAAAGATGAGGTGAATGAGGTGGATGAGGATGAGGAGGTGGATGAGGAGGATAAACAAAAAGAGAATAACAGGTATACTCTCATATTATTCTATACTCATGCTTATTCTATACTTGTGCTTAATACTCATGCTTATTCTATACTATTAGTCTCCCCGTCCTCATCAGCGGAATCTTCTTTTTGCTCGTCTTGACGACAGTCGTTGGATGGAGTGCCATTCCCAAGCATAGATATACCTACATTACAGACGATGAAGCTGGACACTAGGCACCGTCAACCTCCTCTCCAAGCAAAGGGCGCACTCAGGCAAATACCTCGTCGAGCATCTTGCGCGCCAGATCAGCGTGTCCCTCCCTCCACTCCGCCTCGGCGATCGCCCATTTCACCACGAACCCCTCGTATAACCCGCCAACCAGATCGTCGCACAGCTCGTCGGCGTCGTACCCCCCCTGGTTCACAGTCAGGCTGTCTCGCAGCTGCGCGCAGGGCAGGCCTCGCTGCCAATCTTATCCTAGAGTAAGTGAATATACTACACCAGCATGATAAGGCGGTGGTCAGCAGAGAGAGGAATTCAACCGATTCCAACGCTTCTGCCAGAGATTTCCTTCGTCCTGTTTTCTCGCGGATGAACCGATGCAGCTGTTGTGTTGGGTTGGATTGATGTTAGGGTTAGGGTTAGGGTTTAGGGTTGTGTCTGGTGTTAGGGTTAGGGTTAGGTTAGGGTTGCGCTCAGTCGGATTACGTGCGTCCCGGTAATTTTGCTTTGCTCCTCGCTGTGTTGCCTGTCTTATTAGCATAGCTCAAGATACTTCTGATTACCTACTCCATTAAAGTATTAGGGTTAGGGTTAGGGTTAGGGTTTTAATGATGTAAGTTCTCTGATTATGACTAAGCAATCTAACTGCACTAGGCTTGGTTTCTTCCTAATCCGGAGCTGCATTCACTTGACTTTACTATATAATGCTGAGCTCGGCTGTCTCTCATCTAATATCAATCATTATCTACAGGAACAGCAGGACTAGGCAAAGAATGTGTCTGTCTAGGCCACCAACAAGCTTATGGGGGTACCTATCGTCGAGCCCGACAAGGGCACGTATAACACGCTCTGGGCCATGGGGGTCGCCAGGGAGACTCTTGTCTCGGGCGGGTATTACAAGCCTGTAGGGGTGCTGAGCAAGACTGATGCCACCGCTGAGAGTGGACGGGGGGTGTTTTAATAGTTAAATATATAATGCCACACCTATACCATAATAGATAGTCTTAACTATGTGAATAGTGGTTACCCTGCAGTGTCAATTGTATATGCTTATGTAGTCAAATATCCGCCTTCAAAATCCATCGGTTCTATGGTCTAGTGGTTATGACATCGGATTCTGATTCCGGTAACCTGGGTTCAATTCCCAGTAGGACCTTTTTTTTGAAAAGATTTTTACTTCTTTATTCATCTATTTATATAGATACCTTTATTTATATAGAATCAAGTCTTATTCTATTCCTGCTCCAGTCCACTGTCTGGTTGCTGCAAGAATTTCTCCTCTCTCAATGGTCAACATCATCAATCCAGATCAACGGCATCTTATCATCTGTAGACAGACGTCATCCAATTCAACTCGCGAAGCATTCAATTGGATATTGAGCATGAATCATCTTAATATCAAAATGGTATTCCCAGTCCGAAATAGCGCCATCACGTGACGCTCTCCTGAATCAAGTTTCGACTTTCGACGTCAACCTCAGCGTCTTTCTCCCTCCTCCTCCTCCTCCTCCTCCTCACTCACTCATCTCTACCATGCCTCGCCGACTGCAGTTCCAGTCCGGCAGAGACCCGCTGCACGCCCATACCGGCCTGAACCTGCGACCAGAGCATGTCTCGGGCCCCGTCTCGTTCCTGAACCCGACGCGCGCGCGCTACGCCGCGGCGCCCGAGCAGATCGTCACGCCCAAACCGGCCCAGATCGAGCATATCTGGCGGTCGCGCGACAACCGCAAGGGCCGCCATCTGCTCCAAGTCGACTACGCTCTACCCAGGGGCACGGAGTACGCTCTCCCCCCCCGGACGGCGACGTTACATGCCACCGCCCAAGGCCTGCTGCGCATGGCCACCCGCTGTCCCTACTGGGACGTGTCGTACCTGGTCGCCACGGTGTTCACGGCGGGCTCGGTCGTCTGGGTGATCAATGCCTTCTTCGCCTGGCTGCCGCTGCAGGACCCCTCGACGACGTTTCCCGGCGAGTCGTTGGTGGGAGGCGGGGTCACGGCGTTTATCGGCGCGACCATCTTCGAAGTCGGCAGCCTGCTGCTCCTGCTGGAAGCCGTCAACGAGAACCAGACGGGCTGTTTTGGCTGGGCGCTCGAGACGGTCTTGCGCCGTGTCGAGGAGGGAGGGGAAGAGCGTCCTGTCACCGAGCTGCGTCCGTCGGATGAGGAATGCGCCCATCATCATACCGATTCTCGCTCGCTGGTCGGCCAGCACAAAGAACACGACAGGGATAACCATGGAGGGAGGAGGAGGAGGAGTGGCAGCACAAAGAACGGCAAGAGGAGAAAGTCGCCCATGCGCGAGAGCCTCGAAGACGTGCTGGAGAACGGGGTGACGACGCGGGCGCGCGACGGCCGAGCCTTCAACTGGATCCCCTCGTGGAAGGAGATCCGCTCGCACTACATGCACGAGCTGGGCTTCCAGGCCTCCTTCATCCAGTTCGTCGGCGCCAGCATCTTCTGGATCGCAGGCCTGACCGGTCTGCCCGGGATCATCAACCACATGGACACGGGCGTCGAGGACGCCCTGTACTGGACTCCCCAGATCGTCGGCGGCTTCTGCTTCGTCGCCAGCGGCCTCTTGTTCACCCTCGAGACCCAGGACGAGTGGTACCGGCCCGCCCCGCGCGTCCTGGGCTGGCATATCGGCGCCTGGAACTTCATCGGCGGCATCGGCTTCACCCTCTGCGGCGCCCTGGGGCCTGCCTCGGCCGCCAACTCGGGCGTCGCCTACCAGACCTCCCTCGCCACCTTTTGGGGCTCCTGGGCCTTCTTGATCGGTTCTACCATCCAGTGGTACGAGAGTCTGCAGAAGCATCCCGTCGAGGCGAAAAGTACTTCACCTTGAATCACTCTTCTCGAGACACACATCATGATTTCACATCCATCCTCTTTGTATATAAGCATATCTGGCATATGACTTGCATGAATCAGGTGCATAATAAACCTGATGAATCCACCATCCCTATTACTTTCTATATAAATATATCTACTACTGCTTCTTTTTATTCATGGACAAGGACCCAGGTAATCCTTGTCGCGCACTCCAGGGCAGCCTTATAGCGTAGTCGATCGCCAGTGCACTCCATCGTCACTCTGGAACACTCGGGCGGGTGTCTCGACGGAGCATCTCCTGCTAGGCGAGATGCACATGTTTTCTTAAGAACAGCGACGAGATTGCAAGCCTGGTGAAGCAGGAGGGTGCAAGAGGTATACGGCATGAATTATTGAACATAGCATCTTGGCTTCTCTGGTTACCCTCTACATGAACTGCCACATACCGCAATCCTCGCATTCTGGATCTTCCCACTCGCATGCGGGCACCTCATCGTAGACCTCGAGCACCTCGCGCAGCACGGTCAGGATGCGATGCGAGCTGATTCCCATCCCCCACCCTTTGTCGGCGACCGTGTCGTACACACACCTCCGTCCCGCGTGGCACACCGACTCAAACGCGAACCCGGCCCAGGTGCACGTCGAGCCATACCCATTACACGCCCCCATGTAGATCGGGTCCGCCGTGTGGCCGAAGTTATATACGTGCGTGCCGACCGTTTCCCCCCGGCTCTGCGGGAGCAGCAGTCCCAGCCGCTGGGCGGGCAGCGCCGCCGGCACCGCCTGGAAGGTGACTGTCGGTAGACCTGTGGTCATACCCAGAAGAGCGGCGATGGCGCCGCCCAGCGAGTGGCCCGTCAGCCAGACGTTGGTGGCTGTCGGATACTGGGCGGTCACGTTGGCGTACAGCTCCAGGGAGGCCATGTAGTAGCGATCTGGGTTGCGCACCTCGGCCGCCAGACAGGTTGCATTGGCCGTGTAAGGGGCCACGACGGGCAGGGAACAGTCGCAGACCTGGCGCCAGAGCCGCTGCCCGCCCTGCCCGCAGCAGCAGCTGAAGAAGAGGTTGTCGTTGACCTTGTCATGGAGGGCGCCGCGGTCGATGATCCCTAGCGAGGTCCCCTTCAGCGAAAGCACGATCGTTTCGTTGCGCTCGTCTGCAAAGACGTGTCCGCGGAGGCCTGTACCGCGCCACCCAAAGGACGTTGAGTGGTTGTACTCGTCGTGCACGTCTTCCCAGTCGCCCGTGCCTGGCGTCTCCACGTAGTCGTTCGACGAGATTTTGGCCAGCGTCACCACCGTGGTCTTGTCTCTGATATTAGGTCCGGACATCGTCCTCTCGGACAGAGGAGATTGCAGGTCAAAGCCTTCAGATCGCCCCGCATTGATCTGGTAGACGCTGGACGTGGCGATGAGGGGTGGCGGCGGTTGAGACACAGATACCTGATGCGTCTCAGAGTAGACTATGTCTCGTAAGGTGAAGTGCACCTCATTCTGTAACGTAGCAGGAACAGAACACAGGAACGTAATCAAAGACCAAATCAGATATACCATGTTTCCTGTGTGGTATGATGACCCAAGTCAACGCATTATTATTGTTGAGGAGAAGATGACTTGTAGGACAAGATCGGCGGTCAGTGTCACCATGGGACATGGCCAATAGCCAATAACAATTTATATGACGCCCGTCGCTCGCTTGAACGGGATCTTCCATTGAAGAGATGAAATTTCACGCCCATGCCTGACTAGCCTAACTAAAGCTCGAGAAAGGGTTCTCCCCGCTTAGAATATCAGCATCAATGGCGCCGACACAGACGCCGTCAACGCTCTGACTGGCCACGGCCTGCATCGTCTGAACTTGACCCTGGGAGTCGTATCCGGCAAACACCTCAATCTTCCCTTCTCCGTAGGGCTGCCATCCGTGCTGTTTCACACCCTGTGCTGGGTCATAGCCGAATGCCAGCCAGAGATCCTGTAATGTCTGGCTCGTCTGCACCTCCATCGGTGTCGTGGGCCCGGAAAAGTCGACATAGGTACCGAAGATCAGGGGTAGCTCTGAACCGTGGTAAGCACCCTCCCACCAGCGCGGCGAGATGTCACTGAAGTTGCCTCGGTACTGGTATCGAAAGGTCGTGAGATTCAGTGCCTCGCGATATTGCGAGGTCAACGCTGCCGGGCATTGGAATGCATGTAGAGTAAAGTACCTGGATTCGTTGAAATCCGGCGCCGAGTCTGGCGGATCTGGGTACGAGACGATCTGGTTCCCCTCGAGCAGATTGCTGCCGAAGATGGCTGGTCGGTCGGAGAGTGCCCCCAGCGCATATCGGTCGGACCAGTTGGCGAAGATTACCTTGTCGTCCACGAAGGGAACAAAGTTCAGGGTGCCGCCTGTATAATTCCCTAGGAAGTCCTCAATATCTTGATATGGGATTCGACGCATGCAAGCAAGTTCTTCTTCACTACTACTGCTAGAGCAGTTGAAGTAGTCAGCCACCACAGTGAAGTTGGAGTACAGCGGATCATCCTTTTGGTTGTAAAGAAAGACCGAACCCGAATCAGCAATGAACCCAGACACGATAGGATCGTCTGGAAAGGCGAAGTTCAGCATGTCAACGCTACCGGCACCAGAACTCTGGCCCCAGAGCACCATGCGGTCTGGATCGCCACCAAAACCCGCGATGTTGTCGCGGGCCCAGACCACAGCTTCTCGCGAATCCAGCAGACCCAGGTTCTGTTCTTCTAGCCCTGGCGCCCCAGGGAACCCAAAGATATTGGTTCGGTAGTTCATGGCGACGACGACATGACTGCGGGTGCGTTCGACCCAGTGTGCCGCTTCCTGCGAAGGCGTGTTAATTCCCCCGGTTTCGTACCCACCACCATAGATCCAGAGATAAACCGGTAGCAGCTTTCCGTGTGACTCAACCGGCGCCCAGATAGCCAGCGTCAGGCAGTCTTCGTCAAACCCTCCCTGCAACAGCTCGAGGGGCGCATCAGCAGATGCAATAGAGGAGCCGCTGGCAGGTTGCTGGGGACAGGATGGCCCGAATCGCGTGGCATCGATGAGCCGATTGGAATCATTCAGCGGTTGCGGCGGCATCCACCGCAATTCTCCCACCGGTGGCTGGGCATACGGGACGCTCAGGAATTGGCGAACATGGGGAGTTGTTCCATTAATAAAGCCAAGGACTGAAGGGTCGGTTATGATCAGCGGTTTCAATCCATGGGGAGCGAGGGCATACCTGTTCCGCCCGTAGTGTCGACTCGCAGTACGTCACGCATATCGACCGCCAATGTGACCGTCAGGAGTGACGCAAAACTCGCACCAATGAAAGCTTTCATGTTGCTTTGGTATAAGAATGGTTACCATAGGCTTGTTGACTGAGAAATCTTTTTGTCTGGATGAAAGGTTATCAAGAGGAAATCCAGGTGAAGAACTACAGGCACCTCGCTTATGAACATGTCGATAGGCAAGAAACTTCAATTCAAAGGATTCAACCATGGCCAAGTTAGCCATTCTCATGGAGAATCGCATGATGCCGTGGAGAACCCCCGCATTGCCGATCCCAGAACGGGTTTTTATCGGATGCTACAGACATACCAAGGCCTATAGAAAAGATCGGCAAGACAAAAGAGATGTGAACTTATTTCGCATTGATCTATGGTGTGGCGACTATAGGCTCACTTTTCGTTCTTCTGAGCCACTGACTGGACATGCGATGCAACAGATCCCTGCGCCGGCAGATTATCGAATGCTCGTGTCTGGAAGAAGAGTGCTTAGTACCGATAGACTGGAAGCTGTGGTTCAACAGTATGGTATACTACCCACCTCCTTCTGGTGCATCATTCGCGCATCTGCCGTGTTGATCGCATTCGCCGGCTTGCTGAGGATTCGATCTGACCAAGCCGCCCAGGCGGATTGACCCACATTCAACCTGTCAGATTCTTGAACAGAGTCAGCCTTCAATTTGCCCAATGAGAAAATGGTTATGGTTACCAGCTCCGCCCAGTTCTGCGCTCTGCTCCACGATCGACGTTATCTCCTGGTCTGACAAACGCTCGCCCTCTCTGGCGCGTTCGTGGACCTTGTCTCGAAACTGGAGTGTGCTCATACTGTCTTCAACCATTGAATTGCCCTCTCTTCGAACTGGTGGTGGTAGAGTTTTTCTTATATATAGTGGGTATGGCGAATCTGTGCCACTGGATAAGTCAACATGACGCACACCGACCCGACGAACGAGGAGACAACCAGACCTTTGAAGAGCAGAGCCACCATGACATCACTGGGAACAGCTGTTCAATTCATTCAGCGACTGTAAAAAGGAAAAAAGGAGGCTCTCAACAGCAGCAGCAGCAACGACGGCTCTGCAATAGTGACAGTGGGGAATCAAGCCTTGAAAGGCCGTCTTAGCAGTGCCTCTTTCCTGTAAGACCACGTCCAGACCCTTTTCTACAACCAGTAGGCAATATTTAGACGAGAATACTTGCCGTTTGTGATGCAAAGAGAAGGAGAAGAGAAGGAGAAGAGAAGGAGAAGAGAAGGAGAAGAGAAGGAGGAGGTGAGGTCGAAGTTGGAGGGGTCGTGCCTTCCCTTTCCGGAGCCATGCCGGAACAGGAGATATGTTTACGCGTCCAGCTGCTGCCAGGAGACAATCTCAACCTCAGGTCGTGTTTGTTTGTCTGCTGCTGGGATTCTGGCCACGCCAGGCATTGTTCGCCATGGTTCCATCCGTCCAAGACCGCCGGCGAGTCTACTTCGCGACGAGACATATCTTCTCCGGTGGAAGGGCCTCGCTACGAAAGCCAAAGAAGATCCTGCAGGTACTCGAGACTCACCGCTGCTCCCTGCAGCCGCTGCTACGGGGGTACACGTTTGAGAATATCCTGGCCATCCTCCACTCGCTTCTGGCTGACGACGTCTTCTCGTCTGTCGCCAAGGCGAAGATCAGGTTCCCGGAGCTCTTCATGGCCACACCTTCACCCCAATCCCCCAAAGAGGCGACGGTTCTGAGGGGCAGCGCCGCTTCTCCTATCATCGTGGAGGGGGAAGAAGAGTCGCAGCAAGAAGCCCGGCCTATCGCTCCCCGTCCGCGTGAGTCACGTCATCTTGGTCGAAGAGGATTCAGAAGGAATGGCTAACACACGAAGTAAAAACAGTACAGGTACCCGAGAACATACCGGTAGACAGACACATCCAGACCCTCGCATACGGCGCCCAGCATGCGATTCTCACCGTCGCGCAGACCTTGCTGGAAGAGGCGTGCTTCGCCTTCGCTAAGAAGTGGATGCCTAACTTCCTCGAAAACCACAAATGGGACTGCGCTGCGGCGATCGAGCTGAGCTACTGGACTAATAATATCTTGGGACACTGGGTGCATGTGCTGCCTCGTACGGCCTTCAATTCGACGGGGCAGACGAATCTGGCGGCTGTCTTCCGGGCCACAAATGAGCTGCGCCATACCGCGGTGCATCGGGTACGGGTTCCTGCCTATCACATCGGCAACCTGCTGCAGGACGCCATCAAGATGCTGGATGCGTTGAAGGATGACAGTCGCAAGGCACTCCTCGAAGACCTCCATGCTGAGCTCGAGAGCAAGAGCGAGGCAATGGCCTGCCAGCGGATGCTGGTGGAAGAGAGCACCCAGGAAGAGCTGGCTGAGATCCGTCAGCAACGCGCTGAAATGGATCGCAGGGAGCAAGAGATCCTTGAGAAATCGGACCAGCAGGATGTTGAGAATCGCCAACGTGTGGGCCGGCTGCTGGAGCGGTCGGTGAAAAAGATGTTCACTCCCTGGCCAAGGTTTGGTCTCCAGATGGACAGTTGTGAGGATCACAATCTCAGTGACTTTAAGCTTTTCATGGAGGAGGAGTCGGAAGATGAGGGGGGGTTGGGTGGTCTAGGAAAGGCGACTGAGGATTCTACAGGCGATGAGACTGTCGTGGGTATGGATGTTCCTGAGTAGTCTATCGGGTCATCTTTGTGTTATACTGCCATTGTACTCAGCTTGACCAGTACTCGATAGTCTTACTCTCTTCATCAGAGACACCCTCTACAGCACCGACAGACAATAGAATAAATAACAATAACGATAACAATAAAAATGACGCCAGTGGGTATTTCCATTTCGGGACAGCCGGTGGATCTCGTCTATCCACCAATCACATCGACTCGCCATACCCAGCGACACGCTAAGCCCAAACAGGACGCACCCCCAGAGCGAAAGAGCGACTTCGAGTTTCGCAGAGACCATCTGGGCTGTTTCTTGCAGTCCTTGGGGGAACTTCCAGGCTGGAGGCCAGGTATTTGCAGAGACAGCAGTATCGCGATGCATCCACGAGGATTGGCATAAAGACTCCTCTTACGTGTTTTGACTTCGCTGACCCGCCGACCTGCGGAGTACTGTGGACCGGCAGAGATGGACCTTGGGCTGCAGAAAGCATCTGACAGAAGGTTTATTTGTTTTTTTCTTCTTCTGATTCTTCTTCTTCTCTCACTCAATCATCGAGACGGCTCCTTTTTCTTTGGGATATTCGTAGGAAAATGACCGGGACAGCGCACGAAACCGCAGAGAAGGACGAAGCGTGGGCTATTGTGCACGATGTTGCCGGGGACATCGACCCTGTCGTTGAGAAGCGAGTGTTGAGGAAGATTGATCTCTTTCTGATGCCTGCCATGATGATCGGTGGGTGTTGTCGTGCTTGTCGTGCTTGTCGGGACAGTATATATTGACTGAGGCAGGGTATGGGATCGTCTACTGGGACAAGGTATACAAACATCTATATTGAGCTCAATACCATTTATAGATGATTTGCTTATGAACAGGCCATTCTCGGCAGTGCTTCTCTCTTTGGCATGACGACCGACCTCCATCTGTCGGTAGTCGACTACTCCACCACGCCAGCCACGACGGACACGTCGCGCTTGAGCTGGGCGACCTCGCTGTTCTATTTTGGCATGATGGCGGGAATGTACCCGATGACGTTCCTCCTGCAGCGGTTCCAGCTGCGCCTCGTGTTCGGCCCCGTCGTGATGCTGTGGGCGGTCATTTGTGCGGCCACGGCGGGCGTGTCCACCTGGCAGGGCTTGTACGTGCAGCGCTTCTTCCTCGGCTTCGTCGAGAGCGTCATCCCCAGCGGCTTCATGACCGTCGTCAGCGGCTACTATACCCAGCAGGAACAGTCTCTGCGGCAGGCCTGGTGGTTCTCGGGAACGGGCTGGTTCACCATCATCGGCAGCGCGCTCAACTATGCCTTTGCCCACATTCCCTCCGCTTCCCTGACGCGCTGGCAGTGCATCTACCTCTTCGCCAGCGCGTTGACCTTCATCTTCGGCCTGTGGTGCTTTGCCATGCCGAATTCCCCGGTGTCTGCCTGGTTCCTGACTGCCGAGGAGAGGGTCGTCGCCGTGGAACGCTTGCGTAAGGGCCAGACGGGCGTGCGGTGCCAGAGGATCAAGATGGAGCAGATCAAGGAGTGCGCGACTGATCCGAAACTATACCTCATCTTTTTGATGATGGCGTCTGCGTGAGTACCATTGCCGTAGGAAATTTTCCTGTTGGGAAATTACTAACTCAGTGATTAATGGTATCAGGTACGCCATCAACGGTGCCGTCACAGGATTCGGCCCTCTGATCGTTTCGACCTTTGGTTACGACACGCTCGACTCCATCCTGTTCCAGTTTCCCGTGGGAGCTGTCTCGCTGATCTTCATCCCACTGTGTGGATATCTCACGACTCGGATCCCGAACATCCGCATCCCACTGCTCATTCTGTGCTGTCTGCCCGTCATCGCTGGCTGTGCGATGATCTGGAAATCCAGCTGGGCATATCACGCCGCTGCCCCCGTTGTGGGCTACGCGCTCATCGGTTTCTTTGGGCCGGTCGTGAGCCTGGTCATCACGCTGGGAGCCAGCAACGTCGCCGGTGCAACCAAGAAGACCGTCATGGCAGCCACTGTGTTCGTTGCCTACACGGTAGGCAACATCATCGGACCGCAGTTGGTGAAGAGCGAGACCAAGGCCCAGCATTATCCGGAGTTGTGGAAAGGGATGATCATATGGTGTGTCCTTTTTTTCCCCCCCTTTTTTTATAAAAAAAAATTTGTTTAAAAAAGGCGATGTCTGACAAAGCAGTTACTGTATCACCATCACTTGCGCGACGCTTCTGTATATCCATCTGAGGCGCGAAAACCGGCGTCGCGATGCGATGGATCTCGACGAAAGCCTGAGGGACAAAATTGCCTTTGACGATTTGACCGACGGGGAAAACCTATTCTTTCGATACGTGATGTAGGGGGAGGATGGCTATAGTACATCTTGCGGCAGGCGAGAGACCAGAATCCAAAAGGCGCGGAGTCGGCCTTCCCTGCGCTCGACATCGGCCAGCTGCTTCTCTCCCAGTTTCATCTGACGCGCGACCTTCTTCTCCTGCCCGTCGACCTCGCGCACCATGGCCTTCTTCATGCCCTCAAGCTCCTTGATCAGGCTCCGCTGGACGCGGGATCTGGCTTTACCCGAGAGCTCGACCATCTTGCCCGCGGCCTTGGAGCGGGCGACCTCCATCTCCTCCTCGACGTGCTCGACGTACGCCTGCACGCCGCGCTTGACGGCCTCTGCCTGGGCGACCTGCTGGAGGCCGCGGGCACGGCCCTTCTCGATGTCGGACATGGCGGAGCCGGCGCTCGTCTTCTTCAGCCAGGCGACGGCCTCGACGCCCGACCCAAACCCCACCCCCGTCACGCTCACGCTGTCGTCTTCCTCCTCGCGCTCCTCCTCGACCTCGAGCGGCATGACGCAGCCGTGCAGCTTATCCAGGACGGTGACGGAGCGCAGAAAATCGCTTTCCGAGTAACCCCTGTCGAAGAAGCCGATCTCGGCCAGCATTTCGGGCGTGCGCAGGACGCGCACGCACAAGGCGCGCGGGGCGAACAGCCGCTCGTTGGCCAGGTTCAGGTACGAGATCACCCGGCCATGCAGGCTGGGATCTTCGGGCGCCAGCCCCAGGCGGGTGCGGGTGGTGCGCCAGATGGCGTTGAGGGCGTCGAGGAAGACAAACCAGTCGGTTGGGGTGAGGAGCGAGGGCGAGAAGAGGTGGGGGCTGAAAGCGCGTAGGAAGGGGCGGGAAGGCGATTTGCCGGGTGTTTCTACAATCTCAGATGAGCTGGG